GTTGAAGAAGCCCCCCGCAGAATGCCATACCGCTCCCCGTCTTCTCAATTGGTAGCTCTCTCATGAATTTGGATTACCCGCTGCCAGCTACTGCTTTTGGCGCAATCTCAGGCAACTTACCTTACTTTGTTGCTCCATGGCTGCAAATCCGACGCCTGCGAAGCCGTATACTTTCCAGAGCAAGGTGCAAATGGCATACTTAGGTTCTTATGAGGGCATTTTTGAGGCCCACCCCAGTAACGACGGCCGGAAATAGCACTTACTGGCTCTGACCTGGTTTCTGTGGCGCAGTGCGTATTTAACCAAGCTGGGAAGCTGGCGACTCCGTCTACAGGGTGCCACTAGACTGGCTTAAGGCAGTCCTCGTGGGTCGTGACGTGTCTAAGTTTTTGACGGAAGAGCGCAGCAAAAGACACATGTGATTAATTTGTTTTACTTGCCCTACCTTTATGCGGTTCACGTTGGTTGCTTCGTGCAATGCGACTCATTCTATCGTTTCCCAGCTCAGTTTAGTACAATCTTCGGACGCGACAAACCGGAAACAAATTCTTTCTCGTTTTTGATCGGTGTCGTCGAAGCATTTGAATTACTCTGGCAATGTCACAAAATCGTAATCTGTACCGCAACTGTGTCCACACTTTTCAAGGACGAGCTACTACTGATTCAAGCTGCTGACAGACGTGCCTTCTTTACAAAGTCATGTTCAAGAAGCACTGGATACGGATTTGAAGGGTACGCAAGACGAAGCCAGAAATGACCTTTAGGTTAGTGTTGTCGGTGAGGTAAAGAAACAAGTCGTTAGGTGCAGACATGCGTGATCATAAAAAACTGAGAAGTTGTTGGAAAGGCTTTGACGTTTGCAGCGGGTGCTAGAAAATTCTTTTGCAACGTCACATCGACACGAGTTCTAAGGTGCAGTGAAGATAAAGTACATATCAATCTTCATCTGTCGGCTTGGCTGCTGTCCATGCATGACTTTAACCATCGTGTAATTGCATTGATTTTTGCAGCCATTAGCAAGTCTTTTGGATAAAGCATCCTGGCTGTGGATTCACAGGCAAAGGTTGCAAAGCTTACTTTTGTATTTGCAAGTACGGCGTATGACACAAAAGCCGTCCATACATTTACTACTGCGCGAAAGACTATGAAATCTAACAACTTTTCAATGCCGAAGATGAGATGTGATCGCACCTGCGTCTCGTCTGAAAAAAGTAAATGTAGTACGGGATACTTTAGTCTATCTGTAGTTTATGAGATAGCACCATTCTATTGGTCAATACAATGACTTACTATGCTTGGCAACGATGAAGGGTTGGTTATAGGCGAATAATATAGGTGAATTGCTAGTCATCATACAACGCAATGTAAAAGACCCAATGTAGAAATGGAAGCACTTGTCGTAGATGCTAACTCGTTCTTGATTGATTGTGGTCCCTGTTAGCTTCAATATTGGAAGATACGCGCTCAAGTATCTTTGTCCCATCCGAAAAAACATGTCATTTCTCACTACTAATGCTGTCCAATGATGGACCCAAGCGTCTACCCTATAAAATTCCAGTTTCAAATCGGAATGATACACCACGATACATAAGTCAGCCAGCTTTAGCTAAAACAAATTATTTTGCTCGCACATCAAACTATTATTTAAGACCGATCAAAATGACACTTTCTTAGTGTGACTCAAATAATACCCTTTCAACTTCCAAAGGACAGCATTCATTTTCAATTTTTCATTCTCCTGCTTCAGTCGTTTTCTTCCGATTTCATCACAACAACGTCTTTGCAATGCCCGATATCTTCACGGTGCTGACATGTGCATATGCATTGATTTGTCCTTCAACTCTGGCAGCCTTGAGTATTCCTCTGGCCAACGACTTGCTTCGAAAAGAAAAATTACTCGAAGTTTCCAACAACATTCATAACGTTGATCGACAATACCTCGTGGGAACTACGCTCTATCCGCAGAACCCAGGACCCACGGAAAAAAATTCATCGCTATACTCTTCGATATTGGCCTCCCAGGTAGGAGCTTTATCTGCTTTCGAAAACCAAAATCAATCGATAATCGAGAATACACTGCGGTCGTTAGGCCCGTACAAATCACTGGAGAGTTTCAAGGCGGCCTATGACGCCCTTCAAAGTGCTGAATTGATCAATATACCTCAAGCCTTTGACAATAGCGACAAGAATTTTGGAGCCATACGTTTGGGTATTCGCGGCTACAACCTCAAATTGGTGAACTTGAACGAGTGGTCAGAACCTCTCAACTGTCTTTCGGACTCGTTGGTTCGTGAAGTGTGTTGCGAAAAGCACCATCAATACTGCAATCTTAAACCACAAAGTATTTGTACAGGATTTTTCGACTATGGGGCAATACACGGATTTAAACACGACAAAATCGAAGTACGCGCCCAATGTCGTTAGTTCTTTCTGTAACAACATTGAAACCGGTGTACTACTGCCTTTGGCCATCAAAATCGTTGATTCGGGTCTAACGTACACAAAAGAAGACTCGGCAGGGGAGTGGCAACTGGCAAAGATGGCACTAGATGCGACAGAACTCAACTATCTGCAAATCATACACTTTGTGGAAGTGCGTAATGGTGTCGATCCCGATCCAGATTGAGCTGATGCGTAGCATGGCGGAAACCACCCGATTTACGCTCTACTGAACTACCATTTCTTTGGCAACATAGGTCTTGAATTCCTCAGCGTTTTGGTCCTTTTTTCGGTTGATTCACCCGTTCGATCGGTCGGTGGCGTTCGGAGCAAGTGGCTCCGTGCGTGCTGCTTACGACGAACTGCAAAGTTGTCCAATAACCGACGATTGTCCCTCCTGATATCGCAAAGAACGGGCTCGAGTACTTGCCAAACCACCGCTACGTCAAGCATGGCGCGACGTACTACTCCATTATCAAGACTTTTGTTACTAAGTACATAAAAGCGTACTACGTCTCAGAAGATGCTATACAAAGCGCTATGGGTTACAGACTTGGGCAGTCCGAGCGTCTATTGTCTGGGGCGTCAACACTTTCCTTTGGCCTTCAAGGGCTATCAAGACCTCACAAACTCGTTACCAATCTGGTGTTTTGAAACGCCGTGAAACATCACTTCATGAACGGCAGAGTAACATGGCACAGCCAAGCGGCTCCATTCAGTACACTAGCACTGTACAATGCACCACTGCCAACTAGAAAAGGGGTGAAAGTCGACCCGTTTGACTATGTCATTCCATCCGACCTATTCCCGGCGCTGTCTGTCGTGGCAGCACAGTTCTATCGTCCGATTCCACTGGCCCAATCAGTGCTGAGTGCCTACACTACTCCTCCATTCTCCAGCGAGACCATTCTGAAAGGTGCCATCGCCCAATTCCACCAATCTATGGTAACCTTGGAAAATACGCTAAACTCAGCCAAGCCGAAGGGAAACTATCTGGACATGTATGTCAAGCCATCTTTCATGCCGTGGTTCTCGTACATCTAAGCGGTAGTTGGTAGATAAGACGCTTCTACAAATAAAAGGGTGTATCCAACATGTTTGGGAAAGCTTGATCTGGTATGCTTACATCGGGCACGAAGCCCAAAAGCATAGTTCCCTAAAGCTTTTGTTGGCTCCAATTGCTTAGCCATATAATGAACATAAGCAGAGTAGCAATGTCTAGCACCTTTTGACTCCAATATGTGCTTAGCCATCAAGTACGTTAGTGCATAAGGATTGACGACCAATTTGTGTAAGGCCAATGCAAGAGACGTATCGTGTCAAGCAGACAGAAAATTGTCGCTGTTGTGTCTCTCGCAACGCTAGGGTAGGAGGTGTCGTTATTTACCATCAAGGTGTATGGTGTGCACAGGATACTCACCCCAAA